ACGTGCACGTCGGGGTGGGCTCCCCCCAGGGCCCGATCCACCGCCGGCGGGAAACGGGCCTCTGGGGCGGGGGTTTCCCCGCCCCCCAGGGGGACTTGCCAGCCCTATTGGCAGGTGAAGGCCAGTTACCTGGAAGGACAGATAGGGGGCAAATGTCATAGGGGGGCAAATGAAACCAATAGATCACAGGGGTAAAACTCTGTGTAGGATAGCATTGTAGAATTCTGGTGCACTTGTTCTTTTACATTATGTCGTGTCATAAACAAGCACCACAAAGAATAAACTGTGCTATTTTTGTTGCACATGCTGATTAAAATAGAGGACTTTGTAAAATAGTACTCACTGGCCCTCAGTAAAATATTTAGTACTTTTAAAGCTAATAAACATCCTGTTTTAATTCCCCCCCTCCCACAAACTCTGTATTTATTAGAGCAGATAGATGGCAAAATCTGTTTTTAAAATCCATCTATAATTATTTAAATGTATCATAACAGATTATAGCAGGTATGGTTTTTTAAACCAATGCTGGTATAATCATTTATAGGGTATACACGTTCAAAAATGCATGCATGGAACCCTTAAGTGGTTAAAATGTTGGTTACAGCTTTTCAACAGTAAAGACAGAACAGGGAGACAGAACTGAATCCCATCTTGGCTCCCTCTCCCATATGGCTGAGGGGCAGAATCTTAGCTCTCTTTAAAAGCATTCTTTTTGCACACTGGCCCAGGATTGGGAGGGAGAGGGAACTATTTCCAGCATTTGTTTCTATATGTGGTTCCTGTCCAGCTGGGGAAACATGTGGAAGCCTGGTTTCAACTGTGTGATGAGGCTAATAGTTTGCCTTTTAAAAAGACACTGCAGAACACCCTTTCCCTTCCTTTATGTATTTTGATTCTTAGCAACTGCACCTCTTTTGGATTACATAAAACTGTCACAGTACTTTAGTCATATAAGAGAGAGAATATGTTTTCCTGACTTGTTAAAATTGCAATTAGTATATGGTGATGTACTGGATTACCTACTTCTAGATATTTTTTGGTTGAGAACCTTTCTATTTTTCCTTTTTCATAACCAAAATATGTTAAAAATGAACCTCTTTGTTTTCAGGCTTCTATCGTGAAAAATGGATTTATGTTCATAAAGAGAGTACCAAAGAAGTAAGTGTTATGTCTTGTTTCGTATGATCTTGGTAATGATCTATTTAAATAAGCTTTCTACTGGTAGGGTTGCCAGTCTCCAGTTGGGGGTGGGGGATTCCTCGGTTTGGAGCCTCTCCCTTGCTTCGGGGCTATCAGAAAGCGGGTGGGGGGGATGGCCGCTGGGCGCTCCATTATACCCTATGGAGACCGGTCCCCATAGGGTATAATGGAGAATCAATCCATGGGGCTGAGTGGGGAGCTGTTTTTTGAGGAAGAGACACCAAATTTTCAACATAGCTGCTGGCTCCTCTCCTCAGAACCCTCCCAAGTATCCAAAAGATTGGACCAGGGAGTCCAATTCTATGAGCCCCAAAAGAAGTTGCCCCATTCTCCATTATGTCCAATGGAGGGAAGGCATTTAAAAGGAACACTGTCCTTTAAACGTGATGGCTGCTCACCTGGAAGTCGCTTTGGAGTTCAATCTGGCTTCTTCCCTTCCCTCTCCCTGAGCTTCCTAGTAAGTCCCCCGCCAGCTTGGCCGCCTCTCCTGGCAAACCTAGGTGAGAGTATTTTTTGTTTTGGAGGGTGGTTTTTTTTTTGCTTTTAGAGAATCAGTCTCTAACCGTTTGAAAAATAACTAAAATTTCTAGGCTTCAGGCACTTGAGAACTTTTTTCAGGCATTCTTACTAAATCTGTGTATAATATCATTCCATGCATTCCTTCCCTATCTGGACAGATAGAGAGCAGGTAGGGTTGCCAGCCTAGCTCCTGCAAATAGTGGAGGATTTCATGGAGCAGAACCCTTAAAGCCCTGACCTGGATAGCCTAGACTAGTCCAATCTCAGAAGCTAAACACGGTTGGCTCTGGCTAGTTTTTGGATGGGGGGGGGGTCCTCCAAGGAATACCAGGGTTGTGACACAGAGGCAGGCAATGGCAAAACCACCTCTGAAAGTCTCTTGCCTTGAAAACCCCACGGGGTTGCCACAAGTCAGCTGTGACTTGATGGCAAAAAGCCCAGAACCCTTAAAAAGCAGTGTCATGTACATCATGAAGTCACTTCCTGCAAAAACTCACAACCAATGTCATGGCTACAACACAGTGCTCTAAGAGATTTGAGGAATTCCCAGAGTGTTGCACTGTGTGTGTGTGATGTCAGTTCCCAGTTTTGACAGGAAGTGATGTCATGATGCACGTGATGCTGTCCTCCCCCCATTTCCTTCCTGCTGCATGGACAAAAGTAGCAAGAGAATAATGTCTGCCAAAATGGGTAAGTGGCAATCCTGCTGCATGGACAAAAGTAGCAAGAGAATGCCTGCCAAAATGGGTAAGTGGCAATTGTAAGAGCAGACATTGTATGCAGGATAAGCAATCTTAAATGAATGCAAAGGAAAGAAGGCTTTAGCTGGCCTTAAAATGGAAGCTTGAATAGAAGGAAAAGAAAAAGATAGGGAAGATGGGCAGGTAGTGCACACTAGAAGCTGTGTGGTTGGATCTTTGGGTGGATGATGCTTTCTAGGGTCTTTTAGTTCCTGTCCACTGTAGAAAAGTTTCAGGTGCACATCTAACACAGGTTTTTTCTTCTTCTCAAGAGGCATGGCTACTGCACATTGGGAGAAGCTTTTAATCGCTTAGATTTTTCAAGTGCAATTCAGGATATTAGAAGATTCAACTATGTGGTTAAAGTAAGTCACTCTTTACTTGTATGGGTATTAACTGTATTCTTATCTCTGCCTTCCTCCCACCTCCATTTTGTTTTTACAATAACCCTGTGAGGTAGTTTAGGCTGAGAGAGTGACTAGCTCAGGGTCACCCAGCAATCTTCCTGAGAGATTGGGGATTTGAATCCAGGTCTCCTGGTCCTAGTCTTGACAGTCACCCAGAGGGATTCAGTTTGCTTTAAAAATAACCTTGCTATGCATTAGCAACTTTTTTGAGGTAGCTCATCTCATTTGGGAGAAACCAAACACATTTAATGAAAACGAATATTGAATTATATGTAAAGTAACAACATTTAAACATCAGGAAAGTCATTTTAGACGGACTGTGAAATTCCTTTGCAAAATACCTCTGAAAGTGTCTAAACTTGATAATGGGTTTACTTTGGGTTTACAAATTATAGTCAGGAATCAAAGGCCTGCACTGTTTTGTGTATGTTCAATGAGAAATGTAGACTTTGTTCTTCAAGAGTATCCCTGGCAAAGTAAGGCAAACTGCTTGTGAAACAGAGAGTTTTCAAAAGTAGTTTATTGGTCTTCTGTTCAAAGAGTCAAAATATCTTAGTGGGTACAACAACAATTTGAACATTCCTAAAGTAGATCTTTAGATCTTGGCCAATCCTTTCCTTATTTCATTTCCACTCAGCAAACAGGTATTGTTATATGTAATCTATAGTGTAGTTCTGCATTGTACTGTGTGTTCTTTTTTCATAAATTAAATCTTTAATGCTGTTTGAATTTTGCTTGCATTTTATTTCATGCTTGCATGAAAACTGAGGGATTGGGTCAGTCCTCAACTACAGTCCGTTCCTGTCAACAACTTAATTTTTGAAATGAGGTTGTGAAACTGTTGTCCAGTACATGCGGCCGATTGCTTATCTGCCGTGTGCAGCTGAAATAAAAAGGGCAAATTCCATGCCAGGGGTCATTAGAAAAAAAGGCTGAGAATAAAACTGCAATATTAACTCCCTTATGTGGCCATTTTTAAAATATTCTCTTGCTGCATCTTAAAAATGTTATTGAAAAGCTGGGGGGAAATGCAGAAAAGGGCAGCCAAAATGATTGGGGGCTAGGGTGCCTAACCATTGGTGAAGGCTAAAGCATTTTTTTTTAGTTTAGAAAAAAGTGCCTAAAAGGTGGCATGGTAGAGGTTCTCATAATTATGCATGGTATAAAGAAAGTGGATAGGGAGAAACTTTCCTCCTTCCATAATACTAGAACTCAGGGTCACCCTATAAAACTGACTGGAAATTGATTCAAGACAGGGGGGGAAATAGTTCATACAACAGGTAGTTGACTTTGTGGAGCTCATGACATGTGGGGATGGCTGCTGGCTTAGATGGAATTAAAGGCTGTTCGGTTTATGGCAGGTGTCCATCATGGGCCATATGGTGCTGGGGGGCAGCCAGCAGGTGAGGGCTTGTAAGCCTACCATGAGGCATCTGATTTGCCACTATTGAAACAGAATGCTGGACTAGA